GCCCCGCCATTCGCTCTGTCCTCAGCCTCGGCCTTGAGCTGTTCAAACTGCTTGGCGCGTGCATCGCGCTCCGAGTAAAACTCCTTGAGCGCATCGAGCGCGTTTGAGGAGAGGGTTCTGCGTGGTGGGCGATTTCATTAGCGTCTTTTGCGTCAAATGTATCTGTTAAAGTTTGGACGGGTAGTGGGCGTAGCTACTAACATGGGCTCGTCATCTGAGTCGGCCATCTTTATATGGGCTTTGACTGATTCTTGAATTCGAGAGGTTCAACAGTCGTAAGTATGAGACCAATATCTGCGTATAACTGCAAGGCTTGGACTTTGTTGGGCGGACCAGTGGGTTGGGGTTGATTCATCAATTGTGGAAGCGTTTTGACCCTGACCGTCAGAAAATTCCGTCCATATGCTTGCAGCGCCCAACTAACCAGCGTCAGGCTCTCGGCAAACCAACAGCACTAAATGTAAACAAGTACCACAATTACACCCTCGAATGAATTACACTTATATCAAAGCATTTATTTTGCATTGTTGTTGACGCATGACAATCTAACCCGGTATTTACATTTCTTTTCAGAGCTCGCTTCCTCCCAGTCTCATCGTCAACCGGAACCCTATTCTTTCTAGCCCACTTGTGCCCTCTATTGGTCGTCCAGCACGTGCAGGTATTGTCTTTCCTCCCTCTTCTCTTTCTCGCTTGCAGGCGGCAAGTCGTAGAATGCACCACTACGGAATCCTTGAACGTAGTGGTACGTGAATTTGCTGATGTCGCCAGGCTCAATGCCCAGGTCCTTGAATGTCTTTGCATGAGGGTCAATCACCTGGTCAATGTGCTCCATCTGGACCTGTTCGGCCGACAGCATTGGCCACCAGAGCACCTTGTTCAGCAGCTTGGCAACAGGCTCGAGAATCTGACGCGGCACGTTGATGTGTCGTCGCTTGGCGAAGATTTCCTTGTCGACCATTTCGGCGATGTCAGCCGTGGAATACTCCTTGGGACCGTATAGCTCGTAGGTCTGCCCAGCAGTGGTATCGTCGTACAGCATCAGCTCGAGGGCATGGCCGACATCGATCGACTAGATTTGGGTCAGTAACTGAAGTACTGAAAATCCGACCATCACAAAAACTCACGTGCACCGGACGGTATCTCTCTTGCATGTTGTTGGAGGTGAAGACGTTGGTCAGACCAGCAAGCTTGATTAACAAATTGTCCTCGAATCCAAACAGCGGCGCGGTTCGCACAATGGTCGTCTCGGGGTAAATGTCCCGCGCAACCTGCTCACCACGGCCCTTTGTCGCAAAGAATGAGGCCGGAGATTTCGGGTCTGCGTTGTACGACGAGACGTGAATGAAGCGATCGACGTCGTACTTGGCCACTGCCTCCGCAATCCGAGCCGTTCCCTCAACGTGAACATGTTCCAACGAGAAGTTCCTGCTCAATATTAGCACCTCACTGATTGCATCTCTTCTCCAGAGCAGCAGGCGTACTTTGTAGGGTATGTCCGGCCCACCAGGTTGTAGACCACGTCCGAGTGTCTGACGGCTTCCTCAATAGACTGCGTATTGCGCAGATCGTATTCCTGACAAGTAGTCAGTATTTCCGGTTGTATTCTGAGCCACAATCAATACGTACGATGAAGGAGACTCTGCCCAAATCACCAGTCACCTTGAGATGACGCTTGCCCATTTCCTCTCTGTATGGTATGACAACCTGGCATCCTACTCGGGCTAGACGCATATATCCATTAGCTAGACCATTGCATATGTCCGGAAGGTCTATATCGTACCCAATCTGTTCACAATGTATCGTCCCAGTTGTCCCGTCGCGCCGAAGACCGTCGCAGTATGTCCTGTAATTTCACATTAGGGATTATTCGCGCCTCACAGCGGCATAGACATCGGTTTGTTTCGTACCGCCAAGCGATGATCTGTTCCATTGAATTGTCAGCCAAAATCAGCATCACATCGACAAGGCCAGACCAGCTCACCTTCCACCCTGAACCCGGAGAATGGGCTTCCCCGTGCGAGTGATTGCGACATCTGATATCGACCTCCGCTGGAGGGCTTTGTGAACGGTTCTGGTCGACGACCGCGCGACGCTCGGTAGGGAAGCCATCCTTGCTAAATTTAGGATCGCAAGAAGGCGCTGGTCGTGTACTGATGGGCTGTATTCGCTTCGTTTGGTGGTAGTGAAGCGCCGCCTTGAACTTCCCAAGTACGGAGCTCCAACCAGATGCAACCAATTCACAAGCAGGTCGACCCAGTGCCGGCCGAAGAGTGCACGGGCCACTGGGCCACGGGCCGTCGCAGCGCAGTGACGAAGGGGTGCTGACATAATCTGAATCTGCTAGGGAAGCCTGAACCCCCCTGCTGGCAGCCAGCCCGTAACCTTGGCGTACGCATTCCAGGCCTGGGAGCTGCTGAGCCAGGCTGCATCCCAGCCGCGTCGACCTTCGAACAACACCTCCAAAGACAGCTTCTCCAACTGCCCCAGCAGCACACTCTCGATCCACCATTACTTCGATTCCAAAACACTGACACGCAACCGAGCTCGACACCCGAGAGTCAAACTACCTAAGGCGGTACTAACTTCATTCCCATTGTCCGCATATCAAGACAACGTTCAAGTCTCCTCGAGTTCACCTTCGATATACATAGAACCGACCCGCCTACGTCCACGACGCCCATCACAGACAACCAACAATGCAACCTGACGAGGCCACGCAGGTCTTCCTGCAGGAAGTCTTCTCACAGGTCTCCGAGCCTTTACAGCCAGACACGCTTCGTCTACAAGACCTTTGGGAGCAGAAGTTATGGCATGAGTTGACTGAAACCCTCGTCACCATCTTCAACCATCCCGATAGCGGCCCGTATCGCATGGATATCTACAACAAGTTCATCCTCCAGTTCGCAGACAAAATCAACCAGCTCAAGCTTGTCGATCTTGCTTTGAAAGCAGCAGCACAATCTCAAGGTAAGAATCACCGCCAATGCCCTTTTTTCCTTTTCCTTTCCTTTTTTGGAGGGGGGGGGGGCGAACCACATACTCACATGTTACAGACCTCCAAGAACGCCTTGCGTTTGTGGAGCGTGTTTCCGAGAAGGTCGATCCCGAGCTGGAGAAGAAGAAGAACAAGAAGGATGCAGACGAGGAGGAGGACCCCAATTCAAGAAATGCGTACGTCTACGCGACGGTCGCAGTGGCCAACGTAAAGCTGGAGCTCGGCAAGCTGGATGATGCGCGCAAGGACCTCGATAAGGCCGAGAAGAAGCTGGATGTGTTCGACTCGGTCGAGACGGTCGTCCATGCTACCTTCTACAAGGTCAATGCCGACTACTACTACCTTAAGCAAGACTTTGCGTCATACTACCGCAATGCTCTGCTATACCTTGCATGCATTGATATTAAGAGTCTGGACGATGCTGAGCGGCGCAAACGAGCATACGATTTGGCGACTTCGGCACTGGTGTCGACCAGCATTTACAACTTTGGCGAGCTCCTGCTACATCCCATCTTGGACGCTCTCAACTCCAAGGAGGACCAGTGGCTTCGAGACTTGCTATTCATTTTCAACGCAGGAGATCTGACCAAATTCGACATGCTTTCCGGCAGCATTGATTCGGATCGACTACTATCACAATACAAGGAGAAGCTGCGGGAGAAGATTTACCTGGCGGCACTGACGGAGGCCGTGTTCCGACGACCACCTCATGAGCGCGCCATGTCCTTTTCGACAATCGAGCAAGAAACAAAGGTCAAGCCTCACGAAATTGAGCACCTGGTCATGAAGGCGCTGAGTCTGGGTCTGCTCAGGGGAACTGTCGACCAGGTGGATGAGGTCGCGAACATCAACTGGGTGCAGCCCAAGGTGCTGGACTTCAAGCAGATTGACAGCATGCGGTTGCGACTGGCAGAGTGGGACAGCAGCGTCAACCAACTGGGCAACTGGATCGAGAAGACCGGCCAGGATGTTTGGGCTGCATAAGCGTGTGCACGCGGAGTTGAGATTTGAAGCTCATGGCATAGAGTTGGCGGCATGGTGAAGGACATTGATTCCGAATTGTAAATTATGCATTGTTGGAGGTTTGATACGGAAAGGGCGGAGAAAAAGACAATTACGAGCATATGAAATAGAGGCTTCCTGACCTGGAGTCACCACTCAATTCGTAGCCCTTGTCTCGATACGGCTCGCTGATCATCGCCCTCATAATCATCTAAGAAAACCCATTCGTAGTTCCGAAACTATGGCAAACTCATAAATTGCTCCTTGTGATAGTAGCGCTGTTTAATGTGCAGGTTTTTTTCCCCATCTCTTCCCTCTGGCACCGTGAATAAGGGCCAAAGCCCAACATGAAAAAGTAAGCGAAGTATCGCGCGGCACAAATAAATATTCGGTATCTCTATTGTCTCAGATATTGCACAGTTCATTGCCACCTGTATCAACAGCTTGAGACCTTTTGCTTGGCAAGACCAATAGCCAGGGCGCAATGCCGCTGGCGACCTGTTGTATTTTTGCTCACAGCTGTCAACGAAATTCACATTTCGTTCCTTCCCTGCAGCGGCAACATCTGGACATTGCAGCTTTGCATCGCCGCCCTTGCTTTCACTGCCCATCAATGACTTTCCCAAAGCACAATCGTAAAATCGAAACTTGCAGCATACACTTCTGGATAAACCAACGCACCTTTCTGTAGATGATTTAATCGATTGTTGCTAAGTTTCAAGAATATCCATTCACGTTTTCCTCAGCCTCCAAATTAACGCCTAAGTCAGGAACGCGACATTGCTTGGAAGCGGAGCAACATCGAAAATTTGACAAGCGTCGTTCATATCCTGATTGGTGACTAGCGATTCAACACCTCACGCCATTGCTCCCAAATCACTTGAAATGAATCTAGAATCATACTAAAGTCTCGAAAGTGGCAAAAGTACAGGTTCGATTGGGTATCGGCTTAAATTCTCGTTGTATATATATGACGTTCTTGGACTAATGTCCAACAATATCCGATATGGTGTAGTGGCTAACATTCCGCGTTTTCATTGTTGCTCTCGTTAAAGATGACAACTTGAAATCCGCGGCGCCCGGGGTTCGATTCCCCGTATCGGAGTATTTCATTTTGCTTTTTCATAGCGTCCACCTTCATTGTTTGTTGCTGCGATGTGGTTTCTACATTGCATCCTTGTTTTGCCTAAGACATTTTAAGCTTGAACATTTTCTCCTGTACATGAAATTTGCCGAGAGCCCTGAAGGTGCCCGTAAATAGACACCTCCCGAGCAGGGGCCCATCACGTACTATGAAAAAACAGCTGTGCTGTCATTAATTCACTGACGCTATTCTCACTGGCAACGCGCAGCAGTAGATTTATCACAGTCATGGTATATTTAAGCAACTTCGTGCATTTGAGGCAGTGAGGGGCGCATGAGATTGTTGAAATGGTTGCTTTATGAGCAGTGAAGTTGCACGGGCACATGCACGTAAGTCCCGGGTGCTGTAGTGTCCCTGTAACCGTAAATAAAGAGCTTCTCCACTAAAAAGCTGCCTCTCCTGCGCGTGTCGCGTCTCCCATTCTCAGCGCGTTTAGTTTGGAGAAAGTTCAGTGACATCACCAAATTCAGCCAACTTCAGCACACAGCACAAACCCGCAACCTTCCTATCTCAGTCTGCAAGCCTGAAACTATTTAGACGGAAACGCAGCTGCGTGCAGGTCAAATTATACCATTAGACCGCCAAGATGGGCATCAAGCAGCTTTTCTCCATCATTAAGGAGGAGGCGCCTGACGCGATCAAAGAGGGCGAGATCAAGGCGCAGTTTGGTCGCAAAGTTGCCATTGTGAGTTGATGAAAAACGCAATTATTGTAATTGACGTGCTGACTAGAACTTAGGATGCGTATGTTCAGTCTCAAAGTCCCGAACTATCAGAAATTAATATCGTCCCAGATCCATGAGCATTTACTCCTTCCTCATCGCAGTCCGCTCCGATGGCCAGCAATTAATGAACGAGTCCGGCGAGACAACGTCCCATCTCATGGGTATGTTCTACCGCACCCTTCGTATCGTCGACAACGGTATCAAGCCTCTCTACGTCTTCGACGGCGCTCCTCCGAAACTAAAGTCCGGCGAGCTCGCACGCCGATACCAACGCAAGCAGGAGGCTACCGAAGGCCTGGAAGAGGCCAAGGAGACGGGTACAGCAGAGGATGTGGAAAAGTTCTCGCGACGGACAGTGCGCGTCACCAAGGAGCACAATGCCGAGTGCCAGCGTCTGCTCAAGCTAATGGGCGTGCCGTACCTGATTGCCCCCACAGAGGCTGAGGCACAGTGTGCCGTCCTCGCAAGAGCAGGCAAGGTCTACGCCGCGGCGAGTGAGGATATGGACACGCTCTGCTTCAACACGCCTATTTTGCTGCGGCATCTTACGTTCAGTGAGCAGCGCAAAGAGCCCATTCAGGAGATTCATCTCGACAAGGTTCTGGAAGGGCTTAACATGGACCGCAAGCAGGTATGTCATCGGGTCGCATATTTGGTTTAGCTGCTTACATGTGTTGTGTTATCTCCCAGTTTGTCGACCTCTGTATTCTTCTCGGCTGCGATTATCTCGACCCTGTCCCTAAAGTCGGCCCTCACACGGCGCTCAAGCTCATACGTGAGCACGGCAGCCTCGAAAAGATTGTCGAGTTCATCGAAAGCGACAAGAAAGGAAAATACACACTACCAGACGACTGGCCATTCGCCGATGCACGAGACCTGTTCTTTCAGCCTGATGTCCGGACCGCCGAGGACCCATTATGCGACTTCAAGTGGGAAAAGCCCGATATTGAGGGGCTCGTGCAGTTCTTGGTCACAGAGAAGGGCTTTTCTGAAGAACGCGTCCGGTCAGGTGCAACAAGGTTGGAGAAGAACCTCAAGAGCTCACAGCAAAGTCGACTAGAAGGCTTCTTCAAGCCGGTCCCCAAGACCGAGGCAGAGCAAAAGGCGCACAAGCGAAAGCTCGAGGAGAAGAACGAGGAGGCAAAGAAGAAACGCAAGGAGGATAAGAAGGAGAAAGCCAAGGCTAAAGCAAAGCCCCGAGGCGCCAACTGATTCGACGCTCATACTTTGCGTATAGATTTCAAAGGCGTTGTCAGACGGGCTTCATTGCAGCCTAAGTGGGCTATCGTCTTTTGGGGCTTGTTGACAGCAGATAGCCGATTACAGGCATAGCTCCATCACTACGATGGAGTCGAACCCATTGGGACCCAAGGCATGACCCCGAATGATACGTATCGGCAGCCTCATTGTCTGTGACATTCTTGTTGTAGAGATTTCAGTCCGTTGCTGAATGCCCCAGAATGTGGCCCTATCTCCATCATTTGTGATCTGCAGACTCTTGTTTTGAGCAGATTGGAGAATGACTGGTTCGCCAGGAAGATTTTCTCATCGCTATAGCAAGTGCCTACTACGGTAGGCGTACCTTGAAAAGAAGGCTTGAACATTGCTACAGCATACGGCTTATACGACATAGCTTAAAACAAATTGACCGTTAGTGAATGATACTTGTCTCGACCGTAGGGAGTGGCCATACAATAGAAATTTTGCCCTTGATTTTCTATGACATTCGATGCGCTGGATTGTTATAATATTTCTGAGTCTGCAACATCATCGCTCAAGTATCACCTTTGAAGAGAAATCTTTTGTAATCGACATGCACAGCCTATCGTCAAAACGAAACTCGCAATAGGTGTCTATCGGACTGACTTAGGAATATTCGAATGCTCGAGTAAGTACCTGACACTTCGACTCAAAAATGATATGCAAAAGATTTCGTTTCTAGCCCCCGCCTGGTAATCTCGACTTCCAGTGTCGTCGGCATGTAAAGATGTTTGCTCACAACATACATATTGGACAGCAAGTGTAGCTCGGACAGGCGTGTGAGGAATTTAAGCTCGGTTTCAAGGGCTACATATTGAAAGCTTGCCCCAATTCGAGAAAGGGTACTTCATTTCGAGCTGTCACGGAACATATATGAGGTGGATGAAATGTCAAATCTCATTGCATTAATAAGAGAGGGAAACAAAAAATGAACGGCGCTCTGCAAGTATCGAAAATTCATCACCTGACCTTTCTCTCGTTATTCTGGTAGATATAATTTACCTAGCTGAATCGCTTCTCAACAACAAGCACCGTAAGGTGCCCGGCTAGCTCAATCGGTAGAGCGTAAGACTCTTACAGTAGTCTTCCGACTCTGATTAGTCATCTTAAGGCTGTGGGTTCGACCCCCACGTCGGGCTCGATTCCCGTGATTCAACTTTTTGGCATATTTTTGGTGATATCTTCTGTGCATCGGGATTTTGCAGTCATTCGAAGTTGTGATGGCGATTAATTTCTTTGGGAGGTGTGTTGGCCGTCATGGATTTGTGAAGGAGGATGTTTTTATTAGCGGGGGAAGTCTGAATCTGGAAGGCGCGAGTCGAAAGTCTCGTCAATCCAACATCACGTATGGTCCCTTTCGATTCGTATTCCTGTTTCGCGCATTGGTGGCATGCTTTTCCCTGTTGCTTCTAGCCAATATTATCACCAAGATGGCGCTACTTTCACTTACTCCTTGCGTATGTGATAATGTCGCAAGCTTCTTGTCTGATGCTGTGCATCTCTTGGTGTGTAGTTAGTGGCTGCTCAAATTATTTAGGTTCACAAGACGGGCTCTCGGCTCCCAGGGCTTCATTTGATCTGATGAGTGGCGCTGAGCCCGGGTCGGTCCCTGATTTTCGGTGATGTCTCTTGGAGGCAAATGGCCCATGGATACGATCTCCGGAAACAAAATTCTATATTCTAAGATATTTCTTCTGGTCACCCATCACTCAGGCATGGCTACGAATTACAGCCATTACCGCGCGCTACGTGATACATTACGACCGATGGTGCCAACAGTCGTGCTTTGGAGAGAGGCCTCGGCAACCCCTTTCCAATCAGCCAGTCTACCCAAGGTAAGCCTTGGTGGCGTCTCATTTCACATTCCCGTCTTCAATCTGCTCACCACATCTCAAGTGCAATGGTCGGCAAGCACACCAAACGCATGAACGCCCGATTCCTAAGGAGGGACGACTCACCTTCAAAAGCTGTCAGCAACCAGACAGAAGAGCAGGCAGCTACATTGGAGTCGGCAGTCAAAGGCACAAGCAATACTGAGGTGTCAAGAGCAAATGACAGCCGTGATCGGGTGGCGCCGTGTGTACCATCCGATAGCTAATCCACAGCCTATGGCGACGACGCATATCCGCCCAAGGCCAATGTTACTGTAAAGCCAACTTCAGGCGGCGCGTTTGCCCACTTAGACCAGCTTTGCGACGAGGTCTGCGAATTCATGCGAAAAGATGATCCGAAACTTGTCCTTCTCTAGGAAGCGAATCTTGATGTCGAGCTGTGTGGACCTGAAGATGCGGCCAAGATTGACATGCCACAAAGTCAAGCCAAAAGGCAAGCCCACATGAATCTTTTTCTGCATTCGGGCCTGGAAAAGACCGCGAAGCTGGCAGCACTTGAGAAGAAGGCTGCGGATGCGATCCACATCGTGCTTTCTGTCAAAGGTGCGCTGAACAGCGCACTTACGGCAGTGCGGATCGCTGCCATTGCGTGGACTGGCGTGTGCATGGCCTTGAAGGTTATTCTTGGACCATATGCTTCCCCACTGTACCTACATCAAACCGGGACTGAACTTTTCACAGATATTTGTGAACCCTTGAAATAAAACTCCAGCAAATCGGACAGGCATCCTCACTGTCATCACAAGATTGAAATGGTCCTCCAGTTTTTCGAATGTGTTTTTTGATCAAAATCTGTATGCTCGCGATAAACAAAGCACAGAATTACGCAGCGAAGTGAAAGTCAAGTCTCTCACGCTTTATCAAGTCTTCATAAGAGATATCATCAAGAGCGTTTGTAATCATTGTCGCAATCAAGCTCTTGTAGAGCTTTGCTACTTGATCAAGCTTGACTATTAGACAGGCAGCTTGGACGAGGTTGACAAAGTAGAGACGAATTTCGATTCTGCTGCCGACCAGTACTGAATCCGACAAGCAAACACATACCTCGGCCTACTCGTTGAGATTCAAGTATCTGAGCAGGTTAA